GAACTAACTAAATGTCATCGATAGATTTAATAACAAATATTTCAAGATTATAGTCACGATCAAGAATAAAATATAAAAGAAAAATTTTAAGCAGAAAGACAATTATGTGACAAGTAACGTGAAGAACGAAAAGAAAAAAATATTGGACGAAAAAGTAATATAGCAAAATGTTGGAACCATTAGTTCCTATGACTGCGACATGCGGGCGCCATCTGTATGGCTATAATTTGTGAACTGCCTTTTATGTTGAGATACAACCGATTCTCGTTATTGTGCCACAAGCTGATAATAAATATCGTCTATCTTTAAACGTGTAACAAAATATCATTTTACTAGTTCCACACGATTCTTATCCACTAACTCCCATTCTAACAGGTTATGGGCCCAGAGCATCGAAATTAAGAATCGAGGAAAGTGAACGTAAAAATTGAGGTTAGAATAACGCATCACGTAAGAGCAAAAGACAACGATGTCTTCGTCAAACTCTGTAAGAATTGAAACTTTGAACAAGAATAATTATGACACCTGGAAAATACAAATGGAAGCACTGCTGTTAAAAAACGACGCATGGCCGTATGTAAGTGGCGAAAAGGTTAAACCCACAATCATTGCGGGAAACATGGAATCAATCGAAGCGGTAAGGTTATGGGAAATAGAAGACAAGAAAGCAAGGTCAGATATAATATTATCAATAAGTCCATCTGAATTAAAATTAATAAAAGGATGCATCACATCGATGGAAGTTTGGCAAAAGCTGGAATCAATTTATCAGTCAAAAGGACCAGCTAGGAAGGCCACATTATTAAAACAATTAACGTTACATCGAGTGAACGATCATGACGATATATCCGATCACGTTCGCAAATTTTTCGACACGGTTGATAAACTAGGCGAAATGGACATCGATATTAATCCCGACTTATTGACAATTATGCTTCTTTACAGTTTACCGCCAAGCTTCGAAAATTTTCGTTGCGCCATCGAATCTCGCGATACTTTACCAACGCCAGATAATTTACGGGTAAAAATCCTGGAAGAAAATGAGGCAAGGAAGGATAGTGCACAAGACAACGGAACGAATGCGATGGTTGTAAAGAAATTAAGCGCAAAAGACAAAAGTTCAAATGACAGGAGTAATAAAGGATACAAATCACGAAACGAAGAGCCATTCAAATTCAAATGTCATCGTTGCCAGAAGGTAGGACATAAAGCTATTGACTGTAAAGGAACAAAAAGGGGAAAGGATAAAGACAAAGACGTGAGTTTATATACAAAGCATATGATCGACCAGAAAGCGTTTAACTCAAAAGACGATCTATATACTGAAAATTGGTGTCTCGATAGTGGTTCCACGTCACATTTATGCAAAGATACTAAATATTTCAATGAATTTACAGAAAACGCATGTGGCACATTAAATCTAGCCAGTGATGCCTCTACGAAAATAAATGCAAAGGGCTCTGCATCGATGAAAACGGTCTTAGACGGTAAAACAAGGAACGTAACGCTAAACGAAGCACTGTATGTCCCCAACTTAAGAATGAACCTACTATCCGTAGGGAAAATCACCGATAAGGGATTCAAGATACTGTTCGAAGAAAAATCTGCCAAAATCATTAATCGAGAAGAAAAAACGATACTGAAGGCTAAACGAATCGATGGATTATATTACCTACCTGAAATAGGACACAAGTACGAATCAACAATGAAGAGAGGAACATCTTCGGAAGAGGCGCATCTTATCTCAATCGAGACTTGGCATTGAAGAATGGGACACTTGAATATCAAGGATCTCGTGGAAAGTCATCGCAGAGAGAATATCCTAGGAATTGACATTAAGTATTCGAACGAAGATCTTCATTGTGAAACGTGTATTCATGGAAAAATGAACAGAATTCCATTTCCAAAGAGGAGCGAACATAATTCAAATCTGTTGGAGATAATTCACTCCGATATATGTGGACCGATGCGAATCGAGTCGAATGGAAAGGCAAAATACTTCGCGACATTCATCGACGATTATTCGCGCTGGTGCGAAGTCCGAATATTGAAGAAGAAAAGTGATCTTTTCGAGGCCTTTAAGGAATTTAAAGCATTTGCCGAAAATCATACAGGAAAACGGATAAAATTTTTGCAATCCGACAACGGTAAAGAGTACCGAAATGACACATTCGACAAATACTTGAAGCAACATGGAATCGAACGTCGACTAACAGTTACACATACTCCCGAACAGAACGGAATAGCGGAAAGGAAAAACCGCACCCTTGTAGAGATGGCAAGATGCTTATTAATCCAATCGAAATTATCACCATCGTTTTGGGGGGAAGCCATTAACACGGCAAACTACATCCGAAATAGATGCCCATCGAGCTCATTAAACGGAAAAACACCCTTTGAAAGATGGAACGGAAGTATACCAAATGTGAAACACCTTAGAGAGTTCGGATGCAAAACTTTCGTCTTGATTCGAGGAGGAAATAGAGACAAGTTTCAACCACGATCTAAAGAAGGAGTCCTAGTCGGATATTCAGAACAATCCAAAGCATTTAGAATTTGGATCCCAAATGAGAGGCGAGTCGATATCGCTCGTGACGTAAAATTCATAGAAAGAGAAAACTCGTCATCGAATGACATCTTTGAAGATTTCACCACAGAAATCGATGAAGCAACCGATCAATCACACATTGATCTGCCGATCAAAGCAAAAAAGGACAAACATTTATTGGAAAACGAGCGAGAAGAAGTCGAGGATATAGACAACGAAGAAGATCACATCGAACGCGAAGATGAAATTCATCTAAGAAGAGCCGCGGGTAGACCTCGGAAGATTTTGACCGGACGGAAAGGAAGGCCGGCGAAACAATATCGCATGGTACAAGATCGTGAGGAAAACGAAGCGCACGAGGATAACAATCATGAAATCAGTGAATTCGCATGCATATCCGAAATACCCCTTCAGGAAGCTATCGAAGGTTTAGACGCCGACGAGTGGCTACAAGCCATAACAACAGAGATGAAGTCGATTGTCAAGAACGACACTTGGACGCTGGTGGATCGTCCTAACAACAAACGAGTGATCGGAAGCCGAGTCGTGTTGAGGAATAAATTCAATCAAGACGGAAATCTGGAACGGAGAAAGGCACGTATCGTCGCAAAAGGTTTTGCTCAAAAGTACGGCGTAGACTTCTACGAGACATTCGCCCCGGTAGCTCGATTAAACTCAATACGCACGATCGTAGCTATTGCAGCTCAACATGACATGTCAATAAATCAATTTGATATCACTACCGCTTACTTAAACGGCACATTAGAGGAAGATGTTTTCATGGAACTCACAGAAGAGGCATTAAAGCTGCTAACCCGTAAGGAAGGAATAAATAGTAAAATTAGCAACAAAGCGAATAAAATGCTCAAGGATTTAGAAGCCGGCAACAAGGTCTGCAAATTGAATAAAGCGTTATACGGCCTCCGGCAGGCCGGACGATGTTGGTACGTCAAATTGAACGAAGAATTAAAACAATTTGGACTTAATCGATCAAACATCGACCCTTGCATTTACTATATGAATCAAGGGGAAGACTTACTCCTAGTGGCTATATACGTAGACGACTTACTGGTTGTTTCACGGAACGACACTCTTATCGCCGGATTGGCGAAATATTTGTCAACGAAATTTGAAGTACGAGACCTAGGAAGATCAAAGTATTGTTTAGGCATTGAGTTCTCGCACGAAGAAAACGGAATAAAAATGAATCAAAAGGGATACATAAATGATATCTTAAAGAGATTCGGAATGACCGATTCACGACCAGTATCCACTCCAATGGATCTGGGTTTAAAACTCAAAAGAATCGAAACTCAAACTGCAGAGGATCGAAACTTACCTTACAGAGAGCTTATCGGATCACTGATGTATTTAGCTATTTGCACCAGACCCGACATCGCATATGCAGTTAGCTACCTAAGCCAGTACAACTCATGTTTCGACAAGACCCATTGGGTCGCAGCAAAGAGAATTTTACGATATTTGAAGGGCACTTCTAATTTAGGTTTATATTTCAGAAAGGACTCGAATTCACTCAAAGGCTACTGTGACGCCGATTGGGGAAATTGCTTGGAGGACAGAAGATCATATACTGGCTACGTTTTCATATTAGCAGGTTCTCCAATCGCATGGGAATCCCGGAAACAAAGGACAGTGGCCCTCTCATCGACGGAGGCGGAGTACATGGCTATGACCGAAGCGACGAAAGAAGCCATATGCACACGAAAATTTCTAGTAGAACTCAATCTTAACAAATTAGCTGACGTCACGGTGTTGAGTGACAACAACGGAGCACAAAAATTGGCAGAAAACCCAATGTTCCATAGTCGAACGAAGCATATTGACATTCGTCATCACTTCGTTCGGGAGGCCTTAGAAAACGATCTCCTAAAGATACAACATGTTTCTACTGACGATATGACAGCCGATATCTTGACCAAAGGGTTATCTCGTCCAAAGCATTTAAAATGCATTGAGCAACTTGGTCTTGATGGAACGAAGTTCAACAGTTAAAAGATTCGCCCGCCTTTTTCTCGAGGGGAAGTGTTGGAACCATTAGTTCCTATGACTGCGACATACGGGCGCCATCTGTATGGCTGTAATTTGTGAACTGCCTTTTATGTTGAGATACAACCGATTCTCGTTATTGTGCCACAAGCTGATAATAAATATCGTCTATCTTTAAACGTGTAACAAAATATCATTTTACTAGTTCCACACGATTCTTATCCACTAACTCCCATTCTAACACAAAAAAAATGGTGCTTGATGCGAAAAACAGTAACATATTCAACAAATCAACATCAAGTGACAAGATGACGATTGAGTAATTGTTCTGCTGAATGTAACCATTATGAGCTTTAAAACATAACACATATTTAAGGTTCTTATGCACAGAATATGTAATACATTAATGCGTTGTATTTTTTATGCATACAGTTTTTAAAAGAATGAAATAAAAAACGTTTTTTCAAAAAAAGGGTACTCCCGACTGCTGTCAACAATAATTACAAAATAAAAAATTAATTAATAAATTAAATAATAAAAAATATAAAATAAAATAGAAAGAAAAAAGTTTAATAAAAAACAACAAATAAAAATCTAAAATAAAAAAATTAATTAAATAAATTAAAATAAAATAAAAAATAAAAAGTAAGTAAAATAAAACAGAAATATTAAATAATAAAAAAATATTTCACAAATATTTAATATTTAATAATAAAAATATAAGGTTAGAAAAGTTTCAAATAATATCTATTTGTAAATATTAATACAAGTCGGGAGACGCCGCGCTAAATTTAAAAACATACGCGCACACATTCATGAATACACGCCGAACACACCTAGCGTCTCCCAATTGCTGTTATAAAATATAAAATTAATAATAATTACAATGTAACAAAATAATTTGTTAGTATTATTAAATTCTAAAATCTTAAGCCTTTGTAAATCATATTACGCTAAATATGTGAAAAGAGTCAATTCAAGAAGTCAATTAAGAATAAATTGAAATAATAATAATTACTTCTCATATATATGTATAATATTTAAATGTAATATTTAATAATAGTTTGAAGTTAATTGTATTTCATATTTATAAATAGATATTATTCCCGAGATTATTTCTAACTTTTTTAAGCTTATATTTTTATTATTAAATATTAAATATTTGTGAAATATTTTTTTATTACTTAATATTTTTGTTTTATTTTATTTACTTTTTGTTTTCTATTTTGTTTAAATTTATTTAATTAACTTTTTTTATTTTAGATTTTTATTTGTTGTTTTTTATTACTTTTTTATTTTGTAATTAGTTGGCAATAGTCGGGAGTATTTTTTTTTTAAATCTTTTTTTTATTATATATAAACTATAATATTATATATATAATATTATATATATATTATATATATACTACTATATATTATATATATACTAGTAGTATATATTATATATATACTACTATAACTATAATATTATATATATATTATATATATAAACTATAATATTCCATGAAATATTTATTTTTCGATGCTCTTACTTTAATATTTTTGTGCACAAAATAATGAGAGGAATTAATTGGTGTAAAAAAACATACAGTTTTTAAAAAAGAAATATATATGTTTTAATTGTAAATGACATATTTTTTTTTTAAAACAACTATGCTTTTTTATATCATTACAATTTATTTTTTACAATTGATTCCTTCATTATTTTGTACATAAAAATATTCAGGTAGGATCATTGAAAAATGAATATTTTGTGGAATATGTTTTATAGTTTGATTCTGAGGAGGAATTCATTCAAACTTTCTCATAACTTTATACATATATATATATCTCATAAGAAAAATACTTAATGAAAAAATATTTTATTATAATATCTTTTAGAAAGCTCTCGAAATAAGCTGTAAGAATCAATAAAAAAGAAGCGATAAAAGTAGACGTTT